TTAATGGTTTCCTGGTCTCTCATAGTAAATAAATTCTTGGGAAAGAAAGCTTGGCCTGGTAGGTAATTAAATGTTTGGGAAGAGAAGATTGCCAGTTGTTCTGTTAGGAGTCCGGTTCCTGCTGGATTATCTACACAGTTAGCAGGAATCTGCGGTCACCTTTCTAAATGGGGATGGAGTAGAACGGGAATGCCAAGTCCCTAACCTCCTTAGTTTCTCTCCAGGTGTATACACACAGGCATTTAAAAAGTGTGCGTGTGACTTTTACAGCTCACTGTGTTCTTGGGTTCCCAGGGACGCCTGCTCCAGATGTGTGAATGTCCTGGCAATGTTTTTAATTACAGACATGTCTTTGGCCCAGGCATGTTAAAAGAACCCCTCAAATCATGTACTTTTCATCACACTCACACCTCGCTCCATTAGCAGAAATTCTTTCCTGGTGTTTTCATCTTACTTAGCTCATTCTTAAAGAAATTTCCAGCTCAGTTCCAGTGGCTTTTGCATCTCATTACACTTTTGATAATTAGCTCTATCTCATTACCCCCCCCCCCTGCCCAGTTGGAATAGGATTAGTTGTTTTCAGGTGTAAACCTGTGGTGTGCATCTCTCTACACCTCTTCAAAATTCCAGGCAGGCCTTCTGCCTCAGCTGAATTAGGACAACTACTTCCAGCTGCGTATGGTTCATTACAACTTCCATTTCAGGAAGAAACTCCACTGTATTTCACATCTGGTCACACGCTTATTAATTATGTACTTCTTATAACAACTGTGCCTAATTAGGACAGAGTTGAGACCTTGCCGAGCCTAGCGATTCGTTATGTTTTCTTGTTCTTGGTACCTCGTTACCCTCCCTCCAAATTATGCCCAATTTGTTTTACATTCCTGCCACATTAAGACAATTGCTCCCAGGTGTGTGTATTTCAGCATCCACTTTGCTATTCAAGCAAAATTTTGTTGACCAGGACTCTCCCTGTTTTCACATCCTGCTGAAGGGACATCCGCTTTGCTGGTCTTCTGCTCACATTTGCCCTGAATGGAGTGGGTCTAGCTTAGGCTGCTGAGCCCTGGGGCTGGCCTCTGGTCTCCTTGGTTCTTTACTGTAAAACGTCTGTGCTCTCATCTCGGGGAGGTAGCCACAGCGATGCATTAGAACAAGGATCCTGAATGCAGTGGCTTTACTCTGTTCACAGAGCCTGGGAGGTAAAATCCATTAGTTCCATCAAGAAATGGTAAAGGGTCCTCTATGTAACAAAAAAATACTTGTACTTCTTATGTCTACTGAAATTTTTTTTAAAAGGGAGAAAAAGAAAAACAAGCAAAAAAAAAAAAGAGAAAAAGAAAAAAAGAAATGGTAAAGGGTTAACTGCTAGCCAGCAGGGGCACAGTGAACAGTGGCAATCCTGAGCTTCTGGAAGGGCAAAGCTCAGAAGAGACCAGCAGAAGGTCAGGCTCAAGATTTCGGTCCTCAGTCCTAAAGGAAGGGTAGTCTTGGAAAATTGAGGAGGATGGCAAGATCAGAGAGGAAGATGTGAGAAGCCAGAGGAAGTGTGAAGCTCCACGCCACGGGGACTGTCTCTTTTGCTCGCCACTGTGTGACCCCCATGTCATAGCTGTAAGAGGCAATTCTATCTTTTGGACAGACCGAATGACTGCATCAGTGCAAAGAAATTCACTGATATGACTGAGAACCATCAGGATTTAGCTGCCAATTCAACCTGTCTGTATTGGAGTTTTTCTTCCCAAGCTTTTGAAACATCAATAATGACTGTCAGGCTCAGAAAACCTTCAGGTAAGAATGAAGTCCTGGAGAGGGGTCAGGGCTTCTGTAAAGAAGTCTCTGCACAGAAGGCAAAAGGATTCCAGGTGGAATTTCCCACCACAGAGGCTGTGACTGCCTGTCTCAGAACTACAGGCTGTAGGAACCCAGGCCTGGTCCTCCCACCACATTTGAGCTGATTTGGACTTTGAGAGCTTGGAAGCAGGGCTGGTCCTCTTCCAGCAAAGGGAACACAAGGAACTAATCCCTGTCTAATCAGCAGGAACATAATGAGTAGTAAGGGGGGAAAGTTCTAGTTGGGCAATAAGATTTAAAGCCCCCGCCTATGGTAGAAGTAGAAACAATGTACTAGGATGAAAGTCCCTGTAAGAAACGAGTGCTCATGTGGGAAAGGGCACAATATTACCCAAAGAGTAGTTTTGTTTACGAGTTAAAAGATTTCCTGATAGGTGACAATAAGGTGGCTCAAAGTAACAAAAAACTGTATGAGAAACCACTATTACAGATGAGGACATAATTTGCCAACATCTATCAAGAGTTGGATCCCATCGCTTGAATTAGTGCCTCTTTTTCAGGGAATTTATTCTAAGTGTGGCTAAGTTGGAGAGACTCTTCTAGCAGTTCCTAGTCCCTTGGGTATGGGAGAAAGAAAAGTAGTATTTGTGACATGGGTGTTGCGAGGACAAACTGGGAACACAGGTGAGTAGCACAGAGTAGACCACAGTGATGAGAAAAGCAGTGGGAGCTGCTCTGATGCTGGGCTAGACATCACCCCAAAGCCCTCCTTCTAATGGTCATGTTTATTTTCCATCTCAGGACCTTTCCATGTCTCCAGAGCCTTCTTCAAGGTGCTGTGACTGATGTTGTAGACAGTGATCTCCCTATGTTTATCCCCTCTGTGTAAGAATGAGAGTGGTCTGCTTTGTTTCCCGTGCCCCTCTGGTGAGGCCCACCTTGTTGGCCTTTTCAGCTGCAACAGCATATTTAGGGAGTGTGTGCAGCTGGGCCCTATCCTGGGCAGACCCTAGCTCTCTCTAGCACTTTCCAGTCCTGGCTATAAACAGCACAAAAATGATCTCAGAAGATATCCTTATCGTGTAGGACCATAATGTGGGACTCTTCACTGTGTCCCAAATAAAGGTTTTGAGGTGGTCGTGCTATGACCATCTGCATCCATTTGACCATTCACTGAATGTGTCACTGGCTACTCTAGACCTGTTGGAGAATAAAGACCACTGTATCAACCTTCAAAGAAATTTGTGCATGAGTATCTTGGATAAAGGACCCTAGAGTCGGTTATCGCTGTATCAACCTTCAAAGAAATTTGTGCATATCTTAAAGGACCCTTTCCTGTGCAGAATTGATATTCTTCAATCTCATCACGGTTGTGAGCAAAGCAAGGATTCCGCTTTTCTGAATGCTGCCCCCAAAGCAACTCATCTGCCATTTCTCTGCTGGTTCTTAGTTTCTTGACATTCAACTCAATCCAAACCTATATCTCCTCCACTCCCAACAAAACTAGCCTGCGCCCTCCCTAGTCCCACACTGACTCTGGCATCACTCGGGGTTCTCCTCCTGGAATGGACAGGAAAGGAAAGAAAAGGCACCACATCTGTGCTGGGAGGTCATGGCCACTAAGGGGAAGCTTTCAAACAAATGTGAGCAATCTAAACTCCCCACCCCCACATCCCATGATCTTGTTTAAGTAAAGTATGTTCTTCCATGATGTTTCTACACAGATTCAACCTCTTCCCAGTGAGACCCCTGAAGCCATACAGATTTGCCACATTCCTTCCCACCAGAAGCCCTCGGAAGGCCATCCTCCAGCTGCTTGAGGGTTCATCCCTTCCCGTATCTGAGGCAACGGGGGTAACCTCTTTGTCCACACATCTACCTCTGTGGGTAGCAGCATTTGGCACATGTTAGGCTGTTGGGGAATGCTGGCTATATAATGATACCAAGAAAAGGAACACATGACATTTAAGCTTCTCAAAACATTTATTAATTTTCTGTTTGTTTTTCCCACCAAGACCAAAGTTGTATACACAGGTATAAAATCCCTGATCACCAGGGCGTGTGTGCACAGTCCTTCCTGCTGTCCTTCCCATGTGTCTCCAAGATGCATCTTGGTCAGTGCACTGCTTCCTTCTCTGACATATGAACCAAAGGCTAAGAGGACTCAGGGACCTGGGGACAGTGGTGAGGTCTCGTGTGCCAGCAGTATAGGGGGTGCTCACACCATGGGTGAGCAAGACAGAGACAGGCCCAGCTGGTGGCCACACATCATGCTGCCCCATCTTCCTTGCACTCAGCTGAGCAAACCTGGGTTACTTTCCAAGGCAAGAAAAAACTAGGGGATTTAAGGAGAACATTCAGGATCATTCACCCCTGGGACAATGTTTCAGGTGAGGTAAAAATTTTCTAATCATTATTTTTGCTTAGAAATTAGAGGGGAACATCAAGCAGAATGAATCACCTTTCATTCTTCCATTTTTGTCATTAATTTTATGGCTCGTGGCTTGGATACAGCAGAAATAAAACAAAAAGGCAATAAACCAAGCCATAACCTGTGTACAACCTACAGCATACAAAACTCTCCCAGGGATTGGGATAAAATGACTTTCTTTCCCTTAGCCTGGAGGAGGTCCTGTTTTGGTTAGGGAAATTTGTTGAGAACAGCAGCCAGCTGAGAAGCCGTTTATTTGATTTTGGCAATAGAGACAGAAAGCAATGCACAGACACTTATTCCATTGAATTGAAAACTGACAAGGTCAAGAGAGCAAGAATCCTACTGTTCATGTAATATTAATAAGAACCCTATCAAGTGATCTTAGGAAGGTACTGAAATTTAGGTAGCGGTCCACTTCCCAAGGCTGGAATTTTATTTTCATTGGGCAACAAGCTTTAGTAATTCATCCATTCATTTTTCAGAGTCCAGCAATTTGACACCATGTTCCTCCCGGCCCACCCAGTCCCTTTAGGCTTGACAGCATTAAAGTAGTTGTTCAATCAAAACATTATAGCAGACTTCAGAGTTTATATGAAAGCCAAACTAAAGAGAAAAGCCTTATACGTAAGTCACTACGAAAGTTTTCAGACTGTTATAGTCCATTATTTCACTTCCAAGAAACACAGTCGACTGTTCTTTCTGATTCACCTGTGCACATTTCAACTTGCTGGGAGGGTTTCATTCATTTCTTATAGTATGAGTTTTATGTTACTTGATTTTTGTGTATCTCAAAACTTTTGTAATGACCCAGGTACCTTCTCTCCACTAAAGCATTAGTGATGAGGAAACGAAGTCAGCTCAGACTATGGCAAATAACATACCAAAGGAAAATGCATGGCTTAGGAAAGGAAAATGACCCTTGCCCCCCACTGCAGCACGCCCAGTTAAACGGTGGTTATTTTCTTGTCCTTGGTGGCTTGCTTGATGGCAGCCTGCTCACAGATGATCTCCTTGAGCCGCTGCAGCCGCATGTTCTGGGTGGTCTGGTCTCCCACCCCGGTCTGGCTGCGGTGCAGCAGGGTCAGTGCGTGGATGTACTCCAGCTCCGTGTACTTCACGCCCTGGTCCACCACCAGGTTCAAGAGCTCGTCAGCTGTGTTGTACAACATCTCGTAATACTGCCTGAGGAGGAAGAGAGAACACTGCTCAGCAGCTCACCAGCCACATCCCTTCAGTGGGCATGAAGGTGCTATCTATACATTGATTTCTTTACCTGATAAATATTTCTTGATCCCAGTCTTTCAGGCCCTACAAATACAATGAGGAGCGAGGCACAGGTGACCTTTGTCCTGCTGGAACTCACTGGAGCTCTCGCCATGAGATGTCTAAAAGACCTAGGGAGACCTCACACCCTGCAGCTCATTCTATATTTTCTCCTAGTATTGCATCTACCTTGGGAGATGAGAGGGAAGAGAAGTTGTCACACAGAACCAAGAAAGGGGGAAGAAATCATCTGACATGGCAGGGCTGAGGGGTTTTGTCTCATTCCATCCCTCGCTCACTCACTCATTCATCCATCCATCCACTGGCAGAAGCTCTGTGAAATACTGTAGATGATTTCCTCCCCTACAGAGTGGGATAATAATAGTACCTACCCCTTAGAATTACTGGAAGAATTAAATTAATACATGTAAAGCATTGAGAATGGTGACGCCTCATAAAGATTAACTATTATTATTTGAAATGGTAATGTAATAAAGGAACAGTAATATGTAATGATATGCAGGACACAGCCCTTTCCTCAAGTGACTCTGAGACAAGGACAGAGGGTCACGAACAGCAGAGACCAAGGCTCTGTTGTGAGCATAGGCAGCATTCAGAGTTGGATTTCTGGAAGACTAATGTGACGGCAAAATGTGGAATGGTCTGGGAGGGGACTTACAATTCTAACAAAAAGGAGACTTGAGAGCCAGTGAGGTGCAAGGCCACTGGCCTGGATGGTAAAGAGAAGAGTAGGGCTCTAATGTGCATTAGAGCAGCGGTCCCCAAGCTTTTTAGCACCAGGGACTGTTATCATGGAAGACAATTTTTACACGGACTGGGGCAGGGGGCAGGGTTACATTCTCATAGGGAGGGAAGGGAAGTAGTAGTACAGATCCTGCCCTAGATCCCTCACATGCACAGTCTGCAGCAGGGTTTGTACTCCTATGAGACTAATACCACTGCTGAGGTGCTAGAAGGTCGAGTTCAGGTGCTGATGTGAGTGATCGGAGCGGCTGTAAAGACAGACGAAGCCTCACTTGCTCTCCCGCCACTCACCTTCTGCTGTGCAGCCCAGTTCCCAACAGCCTGCAGACAGGTTTGTGGTTTGTGGCCGAGGAAACTGGAGACCATGACATTACAGTGAGTCTCCAAGGCAGTGAGAAGACAGAGGAGGGAGTTAGGAAGACTGCCACTTGTCATTTTTCAAACCAACATTATGCCACAGCTATCCCTCAAAGGGTCTACTGGACTCTGAGGCTATGACTTGTGTGGCCACTCCAAATTACCCAGGGTCTTAAATTTAGCAATAAGCTCTGAACCAGCAATGCCACCACAGCTTGTTAGCAAAAGGACAGAAGGACCATAATCGTGGTCACTTTCTTTCTTCCTGACATGAAAGGTAGCTTCCTGAGGATTAGACAGGAGCAGAAAGAACCAGGCCCTAGGCTCAAAGCAACTTTTGAGAGATCCAGCAGAAACTCTGGCTTAGAAATCCTATATTATTATTGGACTCAGGGCATTGGATGTGTTTCTGCCTCATCGGGAACATCTTGAAAAACTATGGGAAAACTAAGCCATCCTTGTAGTTCTAGAAGAGTCATAATTCCAAGAATATTTGTATTGATTGCTGCTATGATGGGAATGTGGTTAGAAAGAGCTCTGGTATTTTCCCCATGGTTAATTCCTCTTCCTGCCGTTAAATCTCCTTTCTAATTACCATATTCTTTAGAAAAATAGGAGAAATCATACTTTTTTGTGAACATTCCCTAAATGATGGAAGGAACGGACAGAGCTCTTTTTAGGTGAGCAAGTTTATGAGTGTCTCCTCGAGTAAACTATCCCGCATCCCTGTGTAGAGTCCTCTCAGGGCTAATTTTCTATAGTGGTTTCTATAGAGGTTTCATGAAACAAGATATTTAGGAATCACTGGTCAAGGGTAACCTCGAATGGAGACAGAAGTACTTCTGGTAGAAATACTTCAGTTAGGTGAGAAAAATGAACTCTAACCTCCCGCGGTCTGACAGCTCTCTATCAGCTATAATCAGGACATTTTTTAGAGGTCTCATATGTGGCATAAAATCTACGTGAACTCTGCATCCTCCTCCTGGATGTATCTGTTGTGATATAAAACTGCTATTGCTTAGAGAAACTTTATGCCCTAAGAAGATGCTCCATATTTATCCTGTAGCTGTGCACCTCCCTGGCATACCACGCTTCCTCCCTGCCACTGGCCCCTGTTCTGAGAAATGAGGTCCTGTGTCACCTAATTTTGTTTCCCATATATGCATGAGAACGGTCTACTTAGGAAACTACCCAAGAATACACAGTTTAAAAATTGTTCCATTAGAACCTATGTATGGATCTAGATTTACCAAATGAAATAAAAGAGAATTTGGGGCACAAGACTCTTTCAAAGCTGGAAGGAACCAGAAAGGTGTAGTTTCTAGACCTGTAGTTTTGCAACTTGAGAGTGCTGCTAAGAGTTACCTGGAGACCTTGCGAAAAATGCAGATTCCTGAGGCCCCATCCCCAAATATCATGCTTCTTACAGGTATGAAGCATGTTGGACTCTGAGCCAGAGTCCGTTTGGTAGGGCAATAGTTACAGAACCATTCCTGTCTCCTCCAGCTAAGGACCCAAATGCATCAGGGAAGGCTACAGAAGTAATAAAAGGTTTGTGATGCTTTTTACTGAGATTAAACCCAAAGAACTGGATTTCTTTGTATTACATTGTTGATATTTTCATCATTTATCTTAAGATGTAACATTGAACCCATCATACCACATGAAATTGGATTTCTTTTGAAAAATCAGATGAATTGTTTCCAGGGATACCGGCTGGTTTTCTATACAGACTGTTGTTCCATGCTGGGAGCAAACAACAAAACAAAGATGCCTGGATTTCTAGTCCCGGATCTTCTAGTGTGATAAGTGATAAAGGGCATGCCACTTAAGTCCTTAATGTTTCAGTATCCTCTGTGCAATGAAGAACTTTATAAATCCCAGGATGATACTCTGAAGTGGACCAAAAGACTAAAAGAGTCCTCAAGAGCCTCTGATGAACAGTGCCCCAGAATTACAAAGCTGAGTTATTCAACAAAATTGACAGGTAATTGATGGTGTATTTTCTATAGTTAGGGAAAAAAATTCCCCCCTAACCATGATGATATATTAGATCATAAAGAATCATAAATATTTAAGACAGAATGAAATTCATTTATCTTTCTCAATGGTACCCAGTAGCAAAGACTGCTTGCTAAATTGACACAGCAACACTTGGAGGTGGGGAAAGGGTGCTCCAAAGTGCCCTAAAGAGAAAATAGAAAAATGCCCCGAATTACACAATTAGAATGAGCTTCCGTGATAAACACTGACAGACCAAAATGAAATCACGTCACCCAATATGGATAAATAATTTATCAGCACTTATTGAGGCCCCAGGAAAATGAAAACTTGGTCTTTATTATCAAGCATGAAAACAGCAGCCATACGTCCCGGGGTGACACATTTTGTATTAGACAGCACGTCAGTTAGCTGCCAGGATGGGATCAGTGAGCACACATTTGATTGAGACATATGCTGGCTCATGGCTTGGAGAGCAAGTCTCTTCATAGCCCATAATACTCAGGAGCCAACTGCCAAATGTGGACCAAATATCCTATTCTAGAGACCGAAGAGGTTTCCCTTACTCAGGTGATGGAATATTCTGTAAGGTGTGTGCCTTCCTGTGGTTTCTCATACCCTTTGCTGGGCACCTGTGGGTAGCAGTTCTCTAAGTAGGATGAGCAGAGAGGGCAAGGGGGTGGAGTGATGGAGAAGGAGTGGTGTGTGTCACAGACTGGTCTACTGTGCAGTCTAGAATACGACAACGTTTATACCTTGTTCTGGTACGAACAGATCATTTTCTCTTATCTTTGTCATGTTTGCTTTATCAACAGACTGTTCTTCCTTGTGTTTATTTTTTCTTCTTGCTTTATTCCATTGGTATTACACCGTGACTCTTTCTCCTCCATCGATTCCATTGGAAAACATTTGTACCAGTCAGGATACGAAGGGCATTTTGGTAAAGCGGGCAGATCTTTTTAAAGTTTTAAAATAAAGTTTCTTTTTTTCTGATGGAAAAGTTAATGCATGTGCTGTATAGAATACTTGGACCATACAGGCAGATTAGGCAGAAAAAAAGATTACCCACATAATTTCATCATAAAGACAAACCACATTTTGGCATATTTTCTTGTAGTTGAAATATTTAGGATGAAACACAACTGGACACGTCCATTGTTTCCAATTATAAAAACTTTCTTTCTTGTAGATAGATTTAGAAAAGTAGAATTAGTCAAAAAATAAGTAATTGTTTAGGACAGTTGGCAATGCTGCCAAATTGCTTTCTGAAAAAGTTGTGTCAATTTATCCTCCTACCAACAACATATGAACAGTGTCTGGCCCATATTTTTTGTTATTAAAGAGACAGGGTCTCACGGTTGCCCAGGCTAGAGTATGGTGGCATGATCATAGTTCGCGGTAGCCTTGAACTCCTGGGTTCAAGCTATCCTCTGGCCTCAGCCTCTTGAATAGCTAGGAATACCAGCGTGTGCCACCATGCCTGGCTGAATTAATCTTAATTTATTTATTAAGAACTTGTTCTTACCACAAACTCTATGAAGTATAATAGATTTTTTTTTTTTTTTGAGGCAGAGTCTCATTTTGTCACCCTCACTAGAGTCCTGTAGCATCATAGCTCACAGCACCTTAAACTCTTAGGCTCAAATGATTCTCTTGCCTCAGTCTCTGGGACTACAGTTGCCCATCATAGCACCTGGCTATTTTTAGAGAAGAGGTCTTGCTCTGGCTCAGATTGATCTCAAATCTGTGAGCTCAGGCAATCCACCCACCTCAGCCACCCAGAGTGCTAGGATTAC